AAGGTTGTTCCTTATTGTACAATAAACATCAGGATCAACTTCCTCTGGATCAAGTGCCTGGGTTTGTCTGGTGTCAGCATCTGAGGAGGGCTGGGAAAGTCACAGCCTTACTTATTAGAGATTATTTTTTTTTAATCAAGGGCAGAGCCTGACCGCAGAAACGTTTATTTTGTGAACTTTGGAAGGGCTAAAGCCACATTTTGAAAGCTCTTCTGTGACCCCAGAGCAGGTTTTCAGGAAGACAGAAGGAGGAAGGGGCACCTGCATCAGGGATGTTCAGTGGCTTTAATTGATATAAAATATTAATATAAAATTCAAGTGTGAGTCGGGGATGCAGCTTCCTTTTGTGATCTGTGACTGCACCGACCTCCAGAGTCTCAGCAGCTTTTAATCCTGGCTTATGTGAAACCACTGGAAGCGAGTTTAGGACCCAGCAGGTGCCCACCCCATCAGTCACTCCTGCCAAAGCCCGGCACGGGCTGGGATCAGATCCCGGAGGGTGCCCAGGCTCCTCCTCCGGGATTACACTCGGGAATCATCACTGACTAACAATGGGAAAGCATTTCCTCCTCCTGGAACTCCCCGGGGAAGGTTGGGAGCCGTTTGGGTGGCACAAGCCCAGGATTAACTGTTCCTTGACTGCAGCAGTGTCTTGTTGGAGGAGCCAATTCCCTGTGTTGCCTCCTGGCTTTCTTAATCCTGTGGTGCCAAAATGAGCCAGGATTCAGGGAACCAGTCCCCTGGCTGTTGGTACTCAGAGAACTAATTACCTAAATGAGGTTTTGTCGTTTTGTTTGGTTTTGGTTTGGTTTTGTTTTTGTTTTTTTTTTCCCCAAAGGATCTCAGGTGTTGTGCCGGGTTTTTGTTGGAATGCAGTGAAAATTGGGGGCTGGCTGTTGCTTCTGCTTGTGAAACCCTTGGGTTACTCGAGCTCTGGGACCCCTGCAAGTCTTTTGGAGGCACCTTTAGTGCTTTGTTGCTTTGCACCACGAACTCGAGAAGGTTTTTAAACCGATGGATCTGGGTGAAAATGCTTCCAGGTGGAATCTCCCATCAGGATCCAGCCTGATGACATCGTTACCCCACGGGCAGAAGATGATTTTGGGGCGGGAAAAATATTCCACTGAGGGACTCCAGACTCGGTGCTGAGGTTGGCAGTGGCTTTTACAGGGTTTTTGATTGATTCCAAGTTAAATTATTTTCTTGGAAAAGACCCAGGAGGTTCTTGGTGGTTTCTCTGCAGTGCAGAGTGTGGAGATGCTGCCTGTGAGGTCCACTTGGGCTGGAAGCAGGAGGGAATTCCAACCCTCTGCTCCTGGCCCAGCACCTTCCCAGGACCAGCAGGGATGGCTGGGAGGGCACCACATTTAAACAGCATTTTATTCCTGCTGAAGTTCATTTTTAGCCATTGCTGCTCCTTT